AGCAACACCCTCCCCATCCCCTCCCCTCTCCTTTTGCAGATCGAGCAGCCTCCATGGAGGGTCTTTCCCAAGGATATCTTCCTCTCTGAAAGAGCTGCCTCTAACCCAGAGACCATGTCAGGCTGGGAAAGGAGACTTGGGCTGGATTTCTGAAGAGAGGAGCTTCTTCTCACTCGAGGCTTACTGACTCAGGGACCTTGGGCAAGTCATGGCAGACTTTTTTCCCCAGCTCTAAAAATGGCAACAACAGGATGGCCCAGCCCACCAAGGAAGCTCTTTGAGGAAGCAGACGAGATAACACACCAGTAAGTGTCTGGGAACCACACAGAGCTCTTTAAACACTTGTCCCTTCCCCTTTGCTGCCTGCCAAGGTCCTGCCCATCCTACAAGGCCCATCTTTGCCTGCAGGTGGGGGGCGGTGGGGGCCTGAGATTTAGTTGTGGGAATGATCCTAGAGTCTAGAGCCAGCATGGCCTGCAGGCACAGCTGCAGGCCACTTGCCTCCAAGGACTAGAGGGACATGTGTGGGAATCCCGCCTCTGCCATGCCATGATTTAGAGGGGGGTTGGGACATGGGGCAGCAGAGGGTGTCCTCACAGAGCCCCAAATCCAGAATGGGCTCAGTCTAGCTTGGTGTTTACTTGCATTAACTGACACCCAGGCTATCAGGAGAATCTTGTCGAGGGAGGAGAGCTTAGAGGAGAACTCGTTCTGTTGGCCTTAATGACTGGGTTTGGGCCCCAGTGGAGAGAAAGCTACAAGAGTTTCTGTTTTTAAATGAATGGGGTAAATGGGTGGCAGTAGGTCTTTTAGTCTGTTTGGACTGCTGTAACAAAATACCACAGGTGGGGCGGCTTATAGACAACAGACTTTCTTTTCTAACAGTTATGGAAGTGGAAGTCCAAGCTCAGAGTGCTTGTGTGGTCAGGTGAGGGCTCTCTTCTGGGTTACAGACTTCTCACTGTGCCCTCACAGAGTAGAAGGCCCAGCAAACCCTCCAGGATCTCTTTTGTAAGGGCATTAATCCCATTCATGAGGGCTCCACCCTTATAGTCTAATCACCTTTTGACTCCATCACATTGAGCACTAAGATTTCAACATAAGAATTTGGAGGGTGGCACAAACAGTCATTCTCCAACTGAATTCAAAGTTCCAGAGAATAGCAAGGAGAGATAAGAAGTCCCTGATGGCTTAATGGTAAAGTATCTGCCTGCCAATGCAGGAGATGTGGGTTCAATCCCTGGGTCGGGAAGATCCCCTGGAGTAGGAAATGGCAACCCACTCCAGTATTCTTGCCTGGAAAATTCCGTGGACAGAGGAGCCTGGTGGGCTACAGTCCATGGGATCACAAAGAATTGGACACAACTGAACAAATAAACTTTCCCCAAAGTATGTGGCTGCCACTTTCTTACATGAACATTTTAAAGAGGTTTAGGGAAACAACAGAGTGGAAGGGACAAGGGATGTCTTCAGGAGAACTGGAGAAGTCAAGGGAACATTCCATGCAAGATGGGCATGATAAAGGACAGAAACACTAAGGACCTAACAGAAGCATAAGATATCAAGAAGAGGTGGCAAGAATACAAAGAATACACAGAAGAACTATATAAAATAAGGTCTTAATAACCTGGATAACCATGTTAGTATGGTCACTCACCTAGAGCAGACATCCTAGAGTGTGAAGTCAAGTGGGCCTTAGGAAGCATTACTAATAAACTAGGGGTGATAGAATTCTAGCTGAGCTATTTCAAATCCTAAAAGATGATGCTGTTAAAGTGATGCACTCAATATGCCAGCAAATTTGGAAAACTTAGCAATGGCCACAGGACTGAAAAATGTCAGTTTTCATCACAATCCCAAAGAAGGACAATGCCAAAGAATGTTCAAACTTCTGTACATTTGCACTCACTTCACATGCCAGCAAGGAAACCCTTAAAGCTGGCTTCAGCAGTACATGGATCAAGAACTTTTAGATGATCAAGCTGGTTTTAGAAAAAGCAGAGGAACCAGAGATCAAATCCTTTGGATCACAGAGAAAGCAAGGGAATGCCAGAAAAACATCCACTTCTACTTCGTTGATTACACTAAAGCCTTTGATTGTGTGGATCACAACAAGCTGTGGGAAATTCCTGAAGAGATGAGACTACCAAAGCATGTTACCTGTCTCCTGAGAAAACTGTCACCTGTGTGGTGTGATGTGTGTAAGTGTGTAGGACAAGAAGCAACAGTTAGAACCAGACATGGAACAATGAAGTGGTTCAAAATTGGGAAAGGAGTATGACAAGGCTGTACATTGCCACCTTGCTTATTTAACTTAAATGCAGAGTACATCATGCAAGATGCCAGGCTGGATGAATCACAAGCTGGGGTCAAGACTGCCAGGAGAAACATCAACAATTTCAGATATACAGATGATACCACTCTGATGGCAGACAGAGCCTCTTGAGGGTGAAAGAGGAGAGTGAAAAAGCTGCCTTGGAACTCAACAGTAAAGAAACTGAGATCATGGCATCCGGTCCCATCACTTTATGGCAAATAGAAGGGGGAAAAGTGGAAGCAGTGAAAATTTTTATTTTCTTGGGCTCCAAAATCACTGCAGATGGTGAATGCAGACATGAAATTAAAAGACACTCTGTCCTTGGAAGGAAAGTTATGACAAATCTAGACAACTTATTAAGAAGCAAAGACATCACTTTGCCAACAAAGGTCCATATAGTCAAAACTATATTTTTTCCAGTAGTCATGTATAGATGTGAGAATTGGACCAAAAAGAAGGCTGAGCACCGAAGAATTGATGCTTCTGATCTGTGGTGTTGAAGAAGACTCTTGAGAGTCCCTTGGACAACAAGGAGGTAACCAGTCAATCCTCAAGAAAATCAACTCTGAATATGCATTGCAAGGACTGATGCTGAAGCTGAAGCTCCAATCCTTTGGCCACCTGATGTAAAGAGCTGACTCATTTGAAAAGACCCTGATGCTAGGAAAGACTGAAGGCAGGAGGAGGAAGGGGCAACAGAGGATGAGATGGTTAGATAGCATCACTGACTCAGTGGACATACATTTGAGCAAACTCTGGGAGATAGTGAAGGACAGAGGAGCCCATGTCCTGCAACTCATGTTGCAGTTCACGAGGTCACAAAGAGTTGGAAACGATTTAGCAATTGAACATTAACAAGCAAAGATTAAGGAAAAGTAAGAGAGTTAGATGTGGTGTGATGTGAGGTGTGTGTGTGTAGTATGGGTACGTGTGTGGTGTGGTATGTGTGTGTGATATGGAGGGGTGTATTAGGTATGTGTGTGTGTGCAGGGGGTGCTGGGTATATGATGCATGTGTGTGTGTGTGTGTTTGGTGTTGGGGTGGTATTGGGGTGTGTGTATGTGTGGTGTGATGTACATGTGGTGTGTGTATATGTGTGTCTGGTGTTGGTATATGAGTGGTGTGGTGTGGGGAGTTGGTGTATGTGTGGCATGATGTGATGTGTGTGTACAGGGTATTAGGTATGTGTGGTGTGATGTATTTGTGTGTAGGGATGTGGGTATGGTATGATGTGTGTGTGTGGGAGTGTGTGTGTGGTGTGACGTGTGTGTGTGTAGGGGTGTATGTGTGGTGTGATGTGCGTGTGGTGTGATGTGTGATGTGTGTGTAGGGGTGTGTGTGGTGTGATGTGTGAGTGGTGTGACGTGTGTGTAGGGGTGTGTGTGGTGTGATGTGTGTGTAGGGTGTGTGTAGGGGTGTGTGTGTGGTGTGATGTGTGTGTGGTGTGATGTGTGTGTAGGGGTCTGTGTGGTGTGACTGTGTGTGTGCAAGGTGTGTGTGTGGTGTGATGTGCGTGTAGGGTGTGTGTGTAGTGTGATGTGTGTGGTGTGACGTGTGTGTAGGGTGTGTGTGGTGTGATGTGTGTGTGGTGTGACGTGTGTGTAGGGGTGTGTGTGGTGTGATGTGTGTGTTGGGTGTGTGTAGGGGTGTGTGTGTAGGGGTGTGTGTGGTGTGACGTGTGTGTGTGTGCAAGGTGTGTGTGTGGTGTGATGTGTGTGTAGGGTGTGTGTAGGGGTGTGTGTGTGTAGGGGTGTGTGTAGGGGTGTGTGTGGTGTGATGTGTGTGTAGGGTGTGTGTGTAGGGGTGTGTGTGGTGTGATGTGTGTGCAGGGGTGTGTGAGTGGTGTGATGTGTGTGTAGGGTGTGTGTAGGGGTGTGTGTGGTGTGATGTGTGTGTGTAGGGGTGTGTGTGGTGTGATGTGTGTGTGTAGGGTGTGTGTGTAGTGTGATGTGTGTGTGGTGTGATGTGTGTGTGGGGTGTGTGTGTAGGGGTGTGTGTGGTGTGATGTGTGTGTAGGGTGTGTGTAGGGGTGTGTGTGGTGTGATGTGTGTGCAGGGGTGTGTGAGTGGTGTGATGTGTGTGTAGGGTGTGTGTAGGGGTGTGTGTGGTGTGATGTGTGTGTGTAGGGGTGTGTGTGGTGTGATGTGTGTGTGTAGGGTGTGTGTGTGTGTGTGTGTGTGTAGGGGTGTGTGTGGTGTGATGCGCGTGTGATGTCTGTGTCTGGGGGAGCAGGAGCAGGGAGGCACGCTGGCAGCAGGACGAGCTGGGAGGAACCACAGGCTCCCCTGGAGCCCCTGCTCCTGCGCACCCCTTCCGCGGGCTCAGGCTCCTTCTATTTCTCTTCCCATCAGCCCAGGGCAGGGAAGGGAAGAGGGAGCAGGAAAGACAGACCAGTCCTTCCAAGATGCCCCTCCGTTTCTTCCTCCTCTCCTCCTGCCCCGAGACCCTGTGCCCAGCCTCAGCCTGGAGAACAGAGGTGAGTGGACACTTTCTTAGCAAGCAGCTCAGTTCAGGGCCCTGCAGCACAAAACAGACCTCTGTCTTCTTTGGCTGGAAAAAATGCTGGCAAGACACAAGCGCGCGCGCACGCACGCACACACACACACACACACACACACACACACACAGTGAAAGCAGAAGATGCCACTGACCCTTCCACTGTTGATGTCTCTCGCCTCCGCAGACGAGCTATCTGAGTTATGGCCTCCGGCACAGCGTGGGAGACGGGCACGGACTCACGGCCACAGGAAGCGCACACACTGGGGCCGTGAACCACTCTGGCGACGCGTCCGCTGCCCGTGGAATCCTGAGTCCCGCACAGACACCCCCACCCCGCGGAGGTGAGGCCAAGGCCGAAAGCCAGGCCTGGAGGCTGAGTCCTGAACACGCAGCGGGGCTCTCGTCAGAGCCGCGGAGCAGGGACCCGCGAAAATTATGCGCCCTCATGTGCCCAGCGGGGCGGCTCATGCGCCTGCATATTTTGGACCTTCCTCGGGCCGGTGGGGATGGTTTGCGCGGAGGGACCGGGGTGCGGCAGGGCCAGGGGCAACTTTGTTTTTTGCAAACATCGTTTCCGGTAATAGCTTGGGAAGAACTGAAAACCAAAATGGAATGCATCCAGGCGCCAGAAACACTCTCCTGCTGCATTCCCTGGACTGAGACGTTCTCTCCTCTGACATTACTGCCTCCTCAAACTTCCTCTTGCGGCTGCTTCCAGCCAGGCCTCCCTTCACTTCCAGAATGTTCTTCAAAGGACATCCCAGCAGGAAGGTAGAGCAAGCTGTTTGGTCATCCAAGGAAAAAAAAAAGCATGGTCAGAAATGGCTCCAAGGATTTCACTGGTGGTCCAGTGGTTCAGACTCCATGTTTCCAATGCAGAGGGCACAGGTTGAATCCCTGGTCTGGGAGCTAAGATCCTACCATTTGGTGCAGCCAAAGAGAGAAAAAGACATGGCTCCAATCCATCCAGGAAATTAAAAGGCTGCTGTGTGAAAGGATTCTTCTCACCGACTCCCTCATGGTGCCTTGGGGGCGTGGTTCCATGGGAGTTTTACCCCCACATATGAAGTGGAGAGGTGACAGGTTCACACTGTCAGACCAAGGGATCTTTTGACCCCACATTCTTTGCATCCCTCTAGAACCCCAAGCATAAATAATACATTTACCTACATAACTCAACGCATTGGTTGTATATCAATGTAATTGTGAGTTCCGTGTGAGTTATTATGAGTTCATGGTGTGTGTCTGAATCTAAACTGAGATGCCTTTTCTGCTCCCCTAAGAGACAGAATGTTCTTTGAGGATCAAAGAGCTGTAAGAGTCAGCCCACAGTGCACTGGAAGAATAAGGGGCTGGAGTAGAGAGGGCAGGAGAAGAAATGGTTCAGGACAAGAGGTAGCCTGAAGGGGCCAGCAGACCCGTTACAGCAGAGTAAGGAGTTGTCGGGAGATTTGGACTGGGGGTGAACAGATCCCCTAAGCTTGCCTCTTCAGCCAGCAGACCAGGGGTCTACCCCATGCTGGATAGGCCTGCCTCTGCCCCGATGAGTACTGCAGAGGTCCTAGTCAGCTGCACCCACATCCTCACCCTAGGGTCAGCTCTCTGGTTCTGGAAGATCTGCATGAGTGATGGCCATGAGTGACCTACCAGGAGAGGTCCCCAAAAGGACCAGAACGAGGTACTGCTGGCTACCCCCAGGGCCTGCAATCACAGCAGGAAAGACAGAGAAAAACAAGCAGCTGGCTTGTCCAAGAGGCATTATTGTGCTTAACAAACCAGGTGTTCAGACATCATCCAGGAGAAATTGAAATCCTTATACATGCTGATGGAAGGGCAAAATGGTGCAGCCACTGTGAAGAAGTCTGGCAGTTCCACCGCAAATTAAACATATATACATGCCAACCGCTCAGTCCTGTCCAACTCTTCGTGGTCCCAAGGAATGTAGCTTGCCAGACTCCTGTATCCATGGGATTTTCCAGGCAAGAATACTGGAGTGGTTGCCATTTCCTGTTCCAGGGGATCTTCCCGACCCAGGGATCGAACCCACGTCTCTTGTGTCTCCTGCATTGGCAGGCGGGTTCTTTACCACTAGCACCACCTGGGAAACCCTGAAAGAAGGATGCCTACCAACATTGTCTCCGTCCTTATGGGAAGCCCATATGACCCAACAATTCCACTCCTAGGTGTGTGCCCAGAAGAACTTGAAAGCAAGTGTTGCAACAAAAATGTCTACGGGAATATTTGTGGGAACAGTACTCATAAGAGCTGAAAGGTAGAACAATCCAAAGGTCCATCAGTGGATGAACAGATAAACAAAATGTAGCATATTTACACAATGGAATATTATTCGGCCATAAGAAATGAAACACACATGCTACAACATGAGTGAGTCTTGGAACCATTATGCTACGGAAAAGAAGCCAGACACAAAAGGCCACATGTTGGGTGCATCCATTTAAAGGAAATGTCCAGAACAGGTAAATCCATAGATACAGAAAGCAGATTTGTGACTGCCAGGGGGCAGGGGGTGGGGCTGAGCAGAAATGGTGAGTTACTGCTTGGCAGAAACAAGGCTTCTGCTTGGGATGATGAAATATTCTGGAACTAGAATGTACTTAATGCCACTGAATTGTACACTTTGAAATGGTTAAAAAGATAAAGTTTCTGTTATGTCTATTTTACTACAACTGGAGAGGGAAAGGGAGGCTGGAGAAAAAAATAAGTTATCCAGTAATCTTTCCAGTTCACAAAATTTGATTTATTGGAAAGAAACTTGATCCATGACAGATGAGATGCTAAGTGTCAGGCTTTTAGTCATGCTATGATGTCAGGTTTGCTTCATCTGGAAACAATACTTTGCAGAGTGTGCGCTGAGTCCAGGGCTCAGATTCCCACTCATCCTCATGGTGACGCTGAGAGAGAGATGGGGAGCTGAGGTCCAAGGGGAGCAGGAACAGTGGCTTGCTGAAGGTCACGCAGGCTCGGGGTGACAGGCCCTAGTCTCTGGATCCAGCGCTCCTACCCCCCAGTCTCCTCGCTGCCTGTTCATGTGGCATCTCAGGCCTGAGACTTGAAATTCCTGGCAGAAAACCTCTACCTGAAACTCAAGAAAGTCCACAGTGGGTTGCCTGAGCTCACTATGACATCAGAGAAATTTGTGTTCTTCTCCTGCCCAAATTCTGCCCATGGGGAGGCAGCCACTCCACCCAAAGGCATGAGGATTATAAAACCAATAAAGGGATTTTTTTTTCCTTTTTCCTCCCCAAGGTCAGTCTCCTGGCTGCGTCCTTCAGGTTTTGCTTTTTTTTTTTTTTTTTTTGCTTTTGTTTTTGACTGCACTGGGTCTTCATTACTGTGCACGCGCTTTCTCTAATTGCCGTGAACTTTCTCTAATTTCTCTAGTTGCAGGGAGTGGGCTTCTCTTTGCGGAGGCTTCTTTTGTTGTGAAGAACAGGCTGTAGGGCTTGCTGGCTTCAGGAGCTGTGGTGCATGGTCCTAGCTGCCCCACAGCACATGGGATCTTCCTGGACCAGGGATCGAACCCATGTCCCCTGTACCTGCAGGTGGATTCTTAACCACTGGACCACCAGGGAAGTCCTGGCTGTGTCCTTTTAAAAAAACATCTCAAGAACTCAGGCACGCTTCGATCAGCCCACGTGACCTCTGTGTGTACAAGTGTCATGGGTAGAATGGTATATCCCAAAAAGTGTGTTGAAGTTCTCACCCCGGTGCCGGCGAGTGTGGCCTTGTTTGGGAATCAGGTCTTTGAAGATGCAATTGAGTTGGAGGTCACAATGGACAAGAAAGGGCCTGATCCAATGACTTGTGTCCTTCTAAGAACACGGTGACACCAAGACACAGGGGAGAAAGCGTGTGAGAACAGAACCAGAGACAGGAGTGAGGCAAGTATAAGCCAAAGGATGCTTAAGGTGGGGTGTCAGAAGCCGCAGAGAAGCGGGCTGGATCCTCCTGGGGACCTGCCGACACCTCCATTTCATACTTATGTGTTCTAAAACGATGAGAGAACAGATACTAAAGTTATGCAGTTTGTGGTCATTTGTTACAGCAGCCTACAGAGGAAAACAAGGCTAGACGTCAGCCATTTCACGTGAAAGTTAAAGTGTTAAGTCGCTCAGTCTTGTCTGACTCTTTGTGACCCCATGGACTGTAGCCCACCAGGCTCCTCTGTCCATGGGATTCTCCAGGCAAGAATGCTACAGTGGGTAGCCATGCCCTTCTCCAGGGGATCTTCCCGAACCAGGGATCGAACCTGGGTCTTCTGCACTGCAGGCAGATTCTTTACCATCTGAGTCTGACCTCAGCCATCTGGGAGATGCTGAGTAGGCCTGAATGCAGGAGGTGAGCACCGCTGGCTTGCTGGTCCCCTGGACCCCCAGGGGCAGTGGCTGACCCTTGACAGACACTGCCCCGGCCTCAGCCCCTGCCCCTCTTCTCTGTCTTCCCTCTCTCATGCCCTCCCTAGGCCAACAAAGTAGCCAGAGATGATACATCAACCAGTGGGCACAGCCGGGTACCTAGAAAACTTTTTTGGTGAACACCGCCATTTGAATCTCATATAATTTTCATGTGGCAAAAAGTTGATTCTTTTCAATATTTTTTTTTCAGTGTTACAGCTCTATTTATTTAGATAATAGCAGGAAAATCCATCTTCGAGGCATGAGGGCACGTCGATCCAAAGACATGAAGAGAAGAGCACCCCATCATGTGTGTGTGTGTGTGTGTGTGTGTGTGTGTGTGTAAGGGAGGAAGAGAGAGAGAGAGAGAGAGAGAGAGAGCGCGCACTTTGGCTCTTCTTTTTCTATGTTTTGTTTTGTTTTTTCCTAAACTGCTCTTAGCTAGCCCTTGGTACAAAAAGAGGCAGCAGGCTGGATTTGGCTCATGGGTGGCAGTTTGCTGACCCCTGCCTGACCTAGACAACCTCATTGGGTCCCATGTGGTTTGCGAGACTGCGCATGCCTCAGGGCAACTAAGCCTGTGTACCAGAACTACTGAGCCGGCAAGCTCTAAAGCCGAACAAGAGTAGCCTCTGCAAAGGAGAAGCTAAATATGCATCAGTTCAGTTCAGTTCAGTTGCTCAGTCGTGTCTGACTCTTTGCGACCCCATGGACTGCACTACACCAGGCCTCCCTGTCCATCACCAACTTCCGGAGTTTACTCGAACTCATGTCCACTGAGTCGGTGATGCCATCCAACCATCTCGCCCTCTCTCATCCCCTTCTCCTCCTGCCTTCAATCTTTCCCAGCATCAGGGTCTTTTCAAATGAGTCAGTTCTTCACATCAGGTGGCCAAAGGATTGGAGTTACAGCTTCAACATCAGTGCTTCCAATGAACAACCCACAAATCTAATCCCTATCTTTAACCCAGCCTCCTCTCTGAGCTTTAAAGGCCTCAATCCATGCCCTCTTGGATGTCTAATATGCATCAGACTTCCCAAATGTAACATTCTAGATGCAACTTTTTATTTCCCTCCCCACTTGAAACTTATCTCCTCCCTCTGGCCCCCATCTCAGTTAATGGGGTTACCACTGCCTATCAGGCCAAAAATCTGTAGTCAT